GGCACACCTTTCACACGGTTCGCGGTCCCATGGGGAGCTCCACCGAAGGCCCCAGTGGCAGAGTCCCCACGCGCCCTCCCCGCCCACCGCATGCCCATGTCGGCACACCCTTCACACGGTTCGTGGCCCCATAGGGAGCTCCACCGAAGGCCCCAGTAGCAGCGTCCACATGCGCCCTCCCCGCCCACCGCATGACCACTTCGGCACACCACTCTCGCAGTTCGTGGCCCCAGAGGGACCTCCACCGAAGGCCCCAGTGGCAGCGTCCACATGCGCCCACCCCGCCCGCCGCATGTTAATTCCCGCGCACCCCTCACACGGCTCGCGGCCCTGTCGGGCGCTGGGCCGAAGGCGCCAGGCCGCCGGAGGGTTTGCGCAGGCATCTGAAGCAGCTTGCGTCGCGCAGGAAGCGGTGCAGAAGGGAGGCGACGGCCCTCGCCATGGAACTAGGCTTTACCGAGTTTATCCGTGAGGCCTGACCTGGGGAGCTGGCCCGCCCGAGCAGCACTTTCGCTCGATTGTCCAACCGTTTGGCTTCGCGCAGCGGGCGACCCGCGCGCGTCACTGGAATCCTCTCAGGGCAACCAGCGCGTCGCGGGGACTCCGCGCTGCGCTGCGCCCGCAGCATTGGGTTGTGGAGCGCGCGGGCAAACAGGGAGAAAAAGAAGGAAAAGGCCAGATTGGACGGTCTAGTTTTCCTCGTGTCCCCCCATCGAACTGATCACGGACAGACGAAACCCCGCCGAAGGCCCTATAGGAAACTCAACCGAAGGCCCCAGTGGCAGCGCCCGTGTGCCGCCGCCATCCCAGTTTGGCACACCCTTCACACGTCTCGTGCCCCCATACGGAGCTCCACCGAAAATGTTTTTCACGACTGCGGTACTCACAGTTGCATACGGTTGGATCCTTCGCCAGGTTAATTTAATCAAGAACAACAGTTTCTGCCCGCTGGCGATGCTTTACAGAAACAAGCCTCCTCATCCTTCCTTTCCTCTTCCGCATCCCCCATCCGTCTCCTCCTCCTCCTCCTCATCCTCATCCTCGTCGTCCTCCTCCTCCTCCTCTTCCTCATCCTCCTCCTCCTCCTCCTCCTCCTCCTCTCCTGCTCCCTCCCTTCCTCCTCCTCCCTCCTCCTCCTCCTCCTACTCCCTCCCGCCTCCTTCCTCCTCCTCCTCCTCTCCCTCCTCCTCCTTCTCCTCCTCCTCCTCTTCGTTACCCCACAGTCGCCTCCTTCTCCTCCTCTGCCTCCTCCTCCTCCCTCCTACTCCTCCTCCTCCTCTTCCTCCTCCTCCTCCTCATCCTTCTCCTCCTCATCCTCTCATCCTCCTCCTTTTCTTTTCTTCCTCCTTCTTCTTCATCCTCCTACTCTCCTCCTCCTCGCCCCTCCTCCTCTTCCTCCTCCTCCTCCTCCTCCTCCTCCTCTTCATCCTCCACCTTTCCTCCTTTTCTCTCCTCGCCTCTCCTCTTCCCTCCTCCTCCTCCTTCTCTCCTCCTCCTCCTCCTCCTCCTCCGCCTCCATCCCTCCTCCACCTCCACCTCCTCCTCTTCTCCTCCTCCTCCTCTCATCCTCCTCCTCCTCCTCCTCTTTCCTATTCTTCCTCATGTGTCTTCCTCCCCCCCGATTCCTCCTCTTCCTCCTTCCTCCTCCTCCTCCCTCCTCCTCCTCCTCATCATCATCATCATCTCATCATCATCATCATCATCATCATCATCATCATCATCATCATCATCATCATCATTCCGCATCCTCCTCTTACCTTTTTCTTCCTCTCCTCCCCTCCTCCTCCTCCTCATCATCATCATCATCAGCGCACAGCATCACTCCCATCCCCTCCTCAAATCCTCCTCCACCTCTTCCTCATCATCAGCAGCAGCATCATCAGCATCATCATCGTATTCCGCCTCCTCTTCCTCGTCATCTCCTCCTCCTCCTCCTCCTCCTCCTCCTCCTCCTCCTCCTCCTCCTATTCATTATCATGTTTCGTCTCCCCCTCCTCCTCCTTCTCATCCTCCTCATCATCCGCATCTCTTCTTCTTCCTCCTCCTCCTCATCCTCCTTCTCTTCTTCCTCTTCCTCCTCCTCCTCCTCCTCGTCCTCCTCATCCTCCTCCTTCTTGCTTCCTTCTCTCCTCCTCTCCTCCTCCTCCTCCTCCTCCTCATCGTCATCATCATCAGCATCATCATCATCATCATCATCATCATCATCGTCTTCGTCATCAACATCATCAGCATCATCATCATCATCAGCATCAGCATCATCATCATCGTCATCCGCCTCCTCATCAGCATCCTCCTCATCATCCTCATCTCCCTCATCACATTCCTCGTCATCCTCTTCCTCATCCTCCGCATTCGCATCATCCTCATCATATTCCTCCTCCTCCTCCTACTCCTCCTCCTCCTCAGCATGATCATCGTCATCCCCCTCCTCATCCTCATCATCGTTCCTCCTCATCATCTTTCTCCTCCTCCTCCTCTTCCTCCTCCTCCTCCTCCTCTTCATCCTCATCCTCATCATCCTCCTCCTCCTCCGCCTCTTCCTCATCCTCCTCCTCCTCATCCTCCTCCTCTGTCTTCTCACCCCCCACCTCCTCTTCATATTCTGTGTCTTCCATCTCCTCATCATCCTCTTCCGCCTCCTCCTCCTCCCCCTCATCATCCTCTTCATCATCCTCCTTCTCCTGATCATCATCATCCTCTTTCTCGCTCCCTCATCCTCCTCCTATTCCTCTTCTTCCTCCTCCTCCTCTTCATCCTCCTCCTCTTCGTCGCAGTCTTCTTCCTCCTCCTCCTCCTCCTCCTCTTCATCTTCCTCCTCCTTCTCATCCTCCTCATCCTCCGCCTCATCCGCATCCTTCCTTCTCCTTGTCGTCCTCCTCATTCGTATCCTCCTCATCATCTTCCTACTATTCCTCCTCTTCCTCCTCCTCCTCCTCAGCATCATCATCAACATCCTATTATTCCTCCTCTCCCTCCTCTTCCTCCTCCTCCTCCTCCTCCTCCTCCTCCCCTTATTCCCCTTATTCCTCCTCATCCTCATCCTCCTCCTCGTCCTCCTTATCCACCTTATCTTCTCTTATTCGTCCTCATCCTCTTCCTCCTCATCCTCCTCCTACTCCTCATCATCAGCATCATCATCAGCATCAGCAGCATCATCATCATCATCATCAGCAGCAGCATCATCATCATCCTCGTTCTCATCATCCTCCACCACCACCTCCTCATCCTCCTCCTCACCATCATCATCGTCATCATCGTCGTCGTCCTCCTCCTCATCATCATCATCTTCCCCCTCCACCTCCTCCTCATCCTTACCTTCATCCTCCTCCTCCTTCCGTTTCCTCTCCCTCCCTCATGTTCCTCATCTTCATCCCCTTCATCCTCCTTCTCCTACTCCTCCTCCCCCTCCTCCTCCTCTTCCTCCTCCTCCGCCGCCTTCTCCTCCTCATCCTCCTCCTTGTCCTCCTTATCCTCCTCCTCATCATCATCATCATCATCATCATCAGCAGCATCATCATCATCAGCAGCAGCATCATCATCAGCATCACCCTCCCCGTCCTCCTCCTCCTCCTACTCCTCCTCCTCCTCCTCATCCTCCTCCTCCTCCTCCTCCTCCTCCTTCGCCTCCGCCTCCGCCTCCGCCTCCGCCTCCTCCTCCTCCTCCTCCTCCCCCTCCTCCTCCTCATCCTCCTCCTCCTCCTCCTCCTCCTCCTCCTCCTCCTCATCCTCCTCTCCTCCTTCTCCTCCTCCTCCTCGTTCTTTCCGCCGTGCTCCGTTCCGTGAAAGTGGCAGCGGCCTCTCGGAGGGTCCATGCACAGGTTTGCACCCATGCCGTCTGCGCGCAGTCGGAGGGGTCGGCGCGATGAGGGGAGCGGCTCTTGGGAGGAGTGGGACGCGCTCCTTGGCTGCCAGGGGGGTTCGAGGTTTGAGGTTTTCGGGAGTGTTCGTTGGTTGTTGGTTTTTCCCCCAACCCCAGGATGCCTTCCAGCGGCTGCGCCTCGCCGAGAGGAGGCCTTCTCTGGAAGCCCTCGCGCCCTTGCAGGAAGCCCGCATCTCCCCTCGCAAAGGCACCCCTCTGCGCGCCGCAGGACACCACCTACCGGGCCAGCGTGCCCGTCAGGAGGAGACGGCAACGGCCCCAGGCTTCCAGGCCCAGACCCCCAGCGTCATGAGAAGATCACGGCGGTATACTTTCCATGAGTTTGGGCTCCACGAGGCCACAGCCAGGCGCTGGGGGCAGCAAAAGAGTACCAGCGACGGAACATCAGCCCCAGGGATCGTGTCAAGAGGTCTGGAGGGGCTCATCGCGATAAAAAGCATGTTGGATGTCTGGGAATGCGAAAGAAGAGCAGCAGTCCCTGAAGGCACCGCGATCTACGTATATGCATATTATTTATAATTCGATATAAGTATATCGAACTATATGTCTAACATTATAGATGTGTATACATATATGTGTACACATGTATATATAAATATAAGCACATCGAATAGATGAAGCATGTGTAAACATACGTGTGTAAGCACGTACGTATGGGAAACCAAAAAGCAAGCAAACAAATCAACATATGCGACCGGCGTTCTTCCACAAGCTTGGCGTTGGTGGGGAGATTTCTCGGGCCTCGGGGCCAGCAAAAAAATGCCCGCAGCGAAAGACAGCTCCCAGGGACGGGATAGAGGGCTCTGGGGCCCAGATAATCGCTGAAAAGAACAGGACTTCTGAGATCTGGAACGCAGTCCCGTGACTTCTAGGCGTCTGGAAATGATAATTATGAGCTTCACGCGCGTGGCTCTAGCACGTGTGTACATCTTAAGCGCATGCGCGGCTTGCGATTGCGTCTGTGAATCCGACTTGTGAGGACGAGCCGACGGTCGCACCCGCTCCTGTAGGCTCGCTGGCGCATAAGACTTCAGCCTATGGGCTCAGGTGCCCCAGCTCGCCAGCTTGGGCCCCTAGCGCCGCCACTCTCTCTGGTTCCGCTTCAGCTGGCGGCGACCACATGCAGCCCGGCCACGACAGCATCAAGGTGTGCGTTCGGGTGCGACCTATCAACGCCACCGAGAAGCGAAATGGAGCCTCCGAGGCAGTGAGGTGCGCAGGCGAGCGAGGGGGCAGCCTGCAGTTGGTGCCTCGGGGCAGAAAGCCCGTCGTGCACTCCTTCGATCACGTGCTGGCCCCGGCTTGCGGGCAGGATCAGGTCTTCGAGCACCTCGGACAGCCTGTGGTGCAGAGCGTGGTGAACGGATTCCACGGGTGCGTGTTCGCGTACGGGCAGACGGGCGCCGGCAAGAGCCACACCGTCTTCGGCGGAGGGAGCGGGGACCGGGGGTTGTGGGGCACCACCGTTGCACCCGCTAGTCCAATCCCCGCCCACCGCCCTCCCCTCTCCTCCCCTCGCTCCAAGTGGAGCCGGCCCCAGGCATCCCCAGCTCCAGCGTCGTTCTGGTCCACCTCCTCGTCCTCCTCTTTCTCCTCTTCATCATCCTCCTCTTCCTCCTCCTCCTCCTCCTCCTCCTCCTCCTCCTCCGCCTCCTCCTCCTCCTCCTCCTCCTCTTCCTCCTCCTCCGCCTCCTCAATCCTCCTCCTCGTTTTTTCCCCTCCTCCTCCTCCTCTCCTCCTCCTCCTCCTCCTCCTCCTCCTCCTCCGCCTCCTCCTCCTCCTCCTCCTCCTCCTCCTCCTCCTCCTTCTCTTCTCCTCCTCCTCCTCCTCCTCCTCCTCCTCCTCCTCCTCCTCCTCCTCCTCCTCCTCCTCCTCCTCCTCCATTCCTGTTCCTTGTAAATGATGTCTCCCTGTCGCACCCCGAAGCCAGCCAGTTTTTAGGGCGGCCCGGGCTTTCCGCCTGAGACTTCCTCACCATTTATGATTCTGAAGATTAAAAATTGGCAACAGGTTCACAAATGGAGGGCGGGTCGTTTTCAAAATGTGGCCCTTGCCTGAGCGCCGCGCATGTTCCTTCTATAAATTCGCAAGAGCTTCACGAATTGAGCATCACCCATTTTCAATATGTGGCTCTCGCTTCAGCGCGGCGCACATTCCGACTGAAAAATTGCAAGAGCTTCACGGATTGAGGATCACCCGTTTTCAAAATGTGGTTCTCGCTGTAGCGCCGCGCACACTCATTCTAAAAATTTGCAAGAGCTGCACGGATTGAGGGTGGTTCTTTTTCAACATGTGGTTCTCGCCTTATCGCCGCACACATTCTTTTTCAAAAACTGCAAGGGATTCACGGATTCCCACGATCAACGTACCAGAAATTGTGTTTTGGAATGATTCAGGGTTTTGCAGGCGCAACAGCTACGTTGATTCGCGGCGTTAATAACCCAAGAATGGCTGTCTGGCCCGATCAAGGATCGTCAAGACGCAACAATCAGGTTGATCCGTGGCGTTGGAATCCCGAGAACAATGTTTTGGCACGCTCTTCAAACGGTTGTCTTCCAACGAGGCAGATCCCTCAATGGAAATGAACCGTTGTATGGGGCCTATGAAGAGGGAGCTTGGAGGGAGGGTGTATTCCAGCATCGTTGATGGCTCTTGGGTTTACACTGGTCCTCCTCCTCCTCCTCCTCCACCTCCTCCTCCTCCTGTTCCTCCCGCAACCGAGAGGTGGAGAGGGGAAGGGGGCGGGGGGGGGGAGTGGACTCGCGGCCGCGGCGAGGGTCTCCCAGGCTGCTGCCCCGCATCGCGGAGGGCCTGTTCTTGCAGCTGGCCCGCGAGACGCAGGACGAGCACATGGTGCGGCTCTCGTACCTGGAGCTGTACAACGAGAAGGTCCGCGACCTGCTCCAGGCCGCGCCCTCGCAGGGCCGGGGCCTCCGAGAGCCCGCCTCGCTGGAGATCCGGGAGCATCCCCGGTTCGGCGTGTTCATCGAGGGGCTCACCAAGAGCACCGTGCAGAGCGCGGCGGACGTGTCGCAGCTCCTGGACTTTGGGCACAAGATCCGCGTGGTGGGCTGCACGAACATGAACGCGGTCTCGTCGCGGTCCCACGCGGTGGTCACGCTGCACGTGGAGAGGAAGGTGGTCGGCACTGCCCAGGCGGCTCTTCGGCGGGCCCACCTGCACGCCGTGGACCTGGCGGGCTCCGAGAGGATGAAGCAGCTCGGCAACAACGAGCAGAGGCAGAAGGAGAGCCAGCAGATCAACAAGAGCCTGGCTGCCCTGAGCCACATGATCTCGTGCTTGGCAGCGCGGGAGCACAAGGGAGCGAAAAGCGATACGCACATCCCCTACCGCAACAGCAAGCTCACCTTCTTGTTGTCTGGGTCGTTGATGGGCAATTGCAGGACGGCCATGTTGGCTTGCATCTCCCCCAGCGCCGATTGCCTAGAGATGACGGAGTCGACGATCCGCTTCGCAGAATCCGTCAAGAAGCTGCACACCAAGCCGGTGCAGAACGAGGAGTTCGAGGCAGACCTCATCCGCATGTTGCAGGCTGAGATCGAGACACTGAAGCAGCAGCTCCAGTCGACGGCAGCCTCATCGGACGTGGGCAGAGACATCCAGGATCAGATCCAGGCCACCCAGGGCATCCAGCAGGAGTTCACGCGCTCCTGGGACGCAGAGCGGCGGCTGGCCGTGGAGGCGAACCGGCAGCGGCGCATGACCCTCGCGAAGATCAGCGGCTGGCCCCCAGGGGAAGGCACGGACGTCTCGCTGGCCTCCACGTCGGAGCTCGTGAACGTGGAGGGCAGCTGCTTATCCGCCGCATCCAAAGAAGGTGGTCCGGCCGCAGCGAGCCCCTACCTCGTCACCGTTTGCGACGACCCGCTGCTGTCAGGCAGGATGCGGTACTGGCTGACACCTGGCAAGGTGCTGCTGATCGGAAGCGACCCTGCCTGCGACATCTGCATAGACGGCATGGGCACCCAACCCGAGACCTGCTCCGTGCGTTGCGTCGACAATTGCACGCTGGAGGTGCACCGCTCCAGCCAGCAGCCGTCGCAGTCCCCCTTGTTGCCTACTGCTGGCTCCCTCCGTCCGATCGGCCAAGGCGGAGTCGCACCAGGAGGGGAGCTGCCTAAGACGATGAGCATGCCGAACCGGCGCTCGGAGGCGGGGACGAGATCGCTGGCCGAGGTCTCGGTGAACATGGGACGCGTGGTGGGGCAAGCTCGCCTCGAGGATGGGGACAGGCTGCGCGTGGGGCTTGCGCACTGCTTCCAGGTGGTGATCCCAGAGGCACGGAATCCCCACAGGGAGAAGGTCATGTCCATCGTCGACCAAATCACGGTCGAGAACAGCACGCAGAGCCTGATGGCCAAGGAGTACGTCTCCCACCTGCAGGACCGCATCGGCGCCGAGAGGGCGGCGGGGGTGCTGCGGCGCCTGCAGGACCTGAAGAGACTGACGGACGAGGCCAACGAGACGACAGAGGAGATGCGCGACGACAAGGACTTCGAGATGGCTTTTGAGGTCCGCGTCCTCTACGACATCACCGGGTCCGACAAGGAGAACGAGCTGGCCGTGGTGCTGCGGCGCACCGAGCTGCCCGACGACGTGACCCGCGCGGGGCCGCAGTGGGCCCAACCAGACTCCGGCTCCAACGCCCTCTGCGCCGTGTGGTCGGAGGCGGAGTTCCGCGCGCGCCTGGAGGCGCTCCGCGACCTGCGCCGGGAGGTGGACGCCCGGCCGGCGCCGTGGGGGGAGCCCGGCGACCCCGACCCGTGGAGCCTGGAGCTGCAGATCCCGACCGTGGAGGGCCCCCAGGAGGCCGGCGAGCCGGGGCCCGCGCGGCGGGTGCGGCAGGCCGCCGCGCAGGCGGCGCGGGCCGAGGCGGAGGCGGCGGCGCTGCGGGAGGAGCTGGCGCGGGCCCGCGAGCGGCTGTCCGCGCAGGCGCTCGAGCTCGAGGCCCTGCGCGCGGCCGGCGCGCCCGCGGCGGTGGGGCCGGGCTCCCCGCGCGGCGCGCCCGCGCGGCGCTCCTTCGCGGCGCTCCCCGAGGCGGGGCGCGGCGGGCCCTCGCGGCTGGCGGCGCCCGCCGCGGCGCGCGCGCCCTTCGGCGCCTCCTCGCCGCGCGGCGCCGCCTCGCCGAGGGCGCCTGCGTCGCTGACCGCGGCCTCCGTGCGGCTGCTGTCGCCGCGCAGCCCGCAGGAGCCCGCGAGGAGCGGCCGGGCGCTCTCCGCCTCGTCCCGCGGCAGCCTGGGCAGCCCGCGCGGCGGCGCCTCCGTCGCCTCGCGCGGCGGCGGCTCCGTCACCTCGCTGCAGGCCAAGGGCGGCGCCAGGAGGCCCGCCCCGTCGGTGCAGAGCGGCCCGGCGGCCCGGGGCCACCTCTCGCCGGGCCACGCCGCGCCCTCCGCCACGCCGCGCGCGGCGGCGACGTCGCCGAGCCGGGGCGGCGCGGGCCGCGCCGGCAGCGCGGCGAGGGCGAGCAGTTCCATCCGCATCCGTCCGGGCGAGACGTTCGGGACTAAAAAGATTTGGGCCAGGTCGGAGCAAATGGGGTCGGAGGATCGCGCTGCATCGCCGATGCATCGCCGATGCGGCTCGATGTGGAGCCCGTGTTTCCCCACGCCGACGACGCCAATGCATCGCCGACGTCGCCGGTGCATCGCCGATGCATCGCCGAGACATCGGCGATGTATCGGCGATACGGCGCGATCCTCCACCCCCATCTACCCCGACCCCATCTAG